TCTTAAGCCTGCAAAGAGACAATGCCATAACCCACCCTATACCTTGTAAACAGCAAATTTGTATGATAGAGAATGGCATATCCAACTGTCCATGCTGTGAGATTAACACAAATGTACCAAACTTGTGGGGTACACTCTAACTCACGAACTCTAAAATTGTCCTGTTTATTTTCGTCCTTGTTTTCACAACGCCTTTCTTAATTTCTGCTCTCACACACAAAAAGTAATTTTATCATCTCCCACGCGTCTCCTGTAACAACCTCGTGATCTAGCCTGCACGTGCTTATGCAACTTTCCCATTGCATCATCTCTAAAGACATCTCCTGTGTGCTTATGCAACTTCCGTTTAACTGGATGAAAAAAGCAAAGACATCAAGTTAACATACATACTACACATTTCTTTCAGTTCTGCAATCTGGGCAGAATTGGTTTCTATTCTATTAAAAAGTCCCCCTGTATTCCTCAGATACTCACCTATCTTGCTAAGAGCCAGTTGTTGGATTGTTTATGCCTCTGTTTCACTTTCTTAAGTGTCAACTAAACAATAGAAATATCAACCCAATGCAATGGCTTGATTGCCATTGCATTGGCATCATTGCATTGACATTGACATTGCATTGCATTGCATTGACATTGACATTGACAATGCATCATTGCATTGACATCCCCTGCTTCCTAGCACGTCATAAATAAAAAAAAAATTATAGAAAAACAAATTAATAGATCAGTATAATAATAGTAAGTATAATAGTTCTGGTTTTCCATTTTTACAGAAACTTGTGTAATCTTTGAGCTCATGAATTATGCTATGTCTTTTTGGAATTACATAACACAATGTGTTCATAACAACAAAACTTAGTAATAATTTTGGTTTTGTGAAATCGTTCTTTTGAAGGAGTAACCTGAGAAAAACTCTTTGTACCTTATGACTACTACGCATTCTCTCAATAAACAGTCCCTCAAATTACCTGATAATGGTCAACAACAATCAGCACGTTAGCCTCAAATTCTTGTTCACTGGGTGGACTGTTCTTCATGCAGAAGTACACATGAGAATTAAATAAACAAACAAAAAAGAATTACTTTAGTCACACTATAAAGGATTTATCTGTCCTGCTTACTCATATTACATCAATGGTAGGAAATTATTGAGGATGCGAATGTACCATACCTTGGGTCTCAGTTAGAAAAGTCAGCAGCTCTTTTGTCATAGGGACCTCACGGCTCACAGCTGAAGTTTCACTAGCCCTACTCCAGTTTACGACTCCTAAAAACCTTTTTGGTTCTAAACAGAATCAGTACAGATGAAAAAATTTTTAGGAATAGCATTGAGTGTATCAAGGTTCAAAGTATCATACAAAGAGTTCAAAAGCATCTTATGAGAAAGAAAGGGCTGACACCGTCGTGTGTGCTGCTGATCTACTCAAATCATGCGTTGCATCTGTTAGTAATAACAAACTTCAGGAAGAAATGGTAGATATCAAAACAGAACATTGAACACCTTTCTGTACTCACATATTTCTCAGGGTTTACAATTTGATATCACAAATTGTATGCTTAGATGTGCTAGTCAGCAGAACTTTGCAGAAGTCTACTAGATCAAATGCATCATATTGACTGCTTGCAGAGATCCTGGCCTGCAAAAAGGAATAATTGAACCAAACTCATGCATGCAAGACTGGTGTATAATTATGTGGCCAAAGACAAAATAAAATTGAAATCAACTTGTACGTCTCTATTTACAACAAAACCAGGGGTGCTTTTCACTTCTTGCTGGGCAGCAGACATGGAATCATTGCAAATCCTATTCACAATGGTTGGATAACAATGCTTTTTCAAGACTGTTGAAGTAATTAAAAAAAAAAGAGGTATTTCAGAATTCAGGTAAGAGAGAAACCAAATAAGAGACTTCTCAGTCCATTTGAGGTATTTTGGTGGAGAGATCACCATTTGGCTTCCTGTAAACTGTTGTTGACAGCCATTTGCTTGTAAGAAGAAATACAACATGATTTTAGAAGCATTAGAGAAAGTGCATTGCTAACCTGCGTAAAAGGTTTTTTCTCGCTCTCACCCAATTTTGGCTGCTTAGGAGAAACTTGTGTACTGTGTCTGTCACGCCACAAAACAATACTCCATGAATCAATCTATGAGAAAGAGAGGCAGATAAGTGACCAGTTACAACAAAACTCAAGAATACTGAGAGAGAGAGAATTTCAGAAAATTTCCAGCTGGAGACGAAAATGTACTTACCACAAATTTACATAGTACTTTGGAGGAGATCCTCCCATGATAGAGGAGGAGAGCCACTTGAATGAATCTCCACATACACATGAAACTGTTACGGACACAACATGACTTTGTC